TAGCAGTCTGGGTGAGTCTGTGTGAGTTTGTTGGAGTCTGTTGGAGTCTGTTTGAGTCTGTGTGAGTCTGGGTGAGTCTGGGTGAGTCTGGGTGAATCTGTGTGAGTCAGTGTCAATCTGTGTGAGTCTGGGTGAGTCAAGGTGAGTCTGGATGAGTCTGGGTGAGTCTGGGTGAGTCTGTGTCAGTCTGTTTGAGTCTGTTTGAGTCTGTGTGAGTCGGGGTGAGTCTGTCTGAGTCTGGGTGATTCTGTGTGACTCGGGGTGAGTCTGAGCGAGTCTGTGTGAGTCTAAGCAAGTCAGGGTGAGTCAGTGTCAGTCCGGGCGAGTCATGGTGATTCTGGACAAGTCTGGGTGAGTCGGTTGGAATCAAGTTGAGTCTGTGTGAGTCTGTGCGAGTCTGTGTGTGTCAGTGTGAGTCTGGGTGAGTCTAGGTGAGTCCGTGTGAGTCCGTGTGAGTCGGTGCTAGTCTGTAGCAGTTTGGGTGACTCTATGTCAGTCTGTTTCACTCTGTGTGAGTCTATTGGAGTCTGTTTGAGTCTGTGTGAGTCTGGGTAAGTCTGGTGAGTCTGGGTGAATGTGTGTGAGTCAGTGTCAGTCTGTGTGAGTCTGGGTGAGTCAGTAGGTGCGAGTCTGTGTCTGTGTCAGTCTGTGTGAGTCCGGTTGAGTCCGTGTCAGTAGGTGTGAGTCTGTGTCCGTCTGTGTGAGTCAGTGTCAATCTGTTTGAGTCTGTATGAGTCCCTGTCAGTCTGTGTGAGTGTGTGTGAGGCTGTGTGAGCCTGTTTCAGCCTCTGTGGGTCTGTTTGAGTTTGTGTGACTCTGTGTGACTCTATGTGAGTCTGCGTAAGTCTGGGTGAGTCTGTGACAGTCTGTTTGAGATTGTGTGAGTCTGTGACCATCTGGTGGAGCATGTTTGAGTTTGTGACGAGTATGTGTGAGTGTATGACGAATTTGTGTCACTCCCTTCACGTCTGTCTGAGTCAGTGTCAGTCTGTGATGAGTGTGTGTGAGTCTGTGCGAGTCTGTTAGATCAGAACATGGAAACAAACGTTTCCAAGGGGGGGGGGGGGGAAATCAATCAATCGGTTGGCAGGTAAGGGTCATTTCCAAATGAACTCTGACTATCATTTT